TTTGAAATTTGAAACTTGAACAAACACGGCGTAAAAAACCTTTATTGGGTTTCCCCACTTTTATGAAGCCCATCCATGTTTATGGGCCTAATCGTATTCTTTTTTTTTTTAACTTTTCAATCTCTCTTCTACAAAAAGTTTTCAGTCAGTGAAATATACCGTTGTTGGCATCAATGTTTGCAATGTGTTCAAACAATTTCAGGCTATGTTTATTGGGTCAGAATGTCAAATCAAACTGGATTAGATTGTCCCGGCTCAGCAAGTTCAATAAACTCCAATTGAAAATAAACCAAAAATACAATATATAATATATTTTTTAATATATATGTATATATATAACTATTTTAAATATAATAAAATTTTTAAAAAATTAAAAATTGTAATATAAAACTACGTCTAATTGTTGATTTTTCTTTTCTAAAACTGTATTGAAATATACTTTAAACATAAAGATAATGGAGTATAAACTAAAAGAGTTGAACACATACAAAGGCAACTATAGATAATTAATTTTGTCTTTTAATTTTTAAAATAATTTTAGAGAATAATTTTAAAAAATGATTTTTGAAACTAAATAAAAAAGTAACCTGTTTATAATTCGTATTTGTTTGAATTGTGTTAGCGCAAAACCACATCATTAAAGGTTGTAAAGTACTAAACGAGGAACGCGGAGGATTAGCTTTATCCAATCATTCCTATCTTTCAGTTGCAACTTCCAGATCTCGTTCACATTCTTTTCCCACCATAATCAATATGTTTATAGAAATAATTAGATCTAAAGTGAAGAACAACAATCTCAAAAGATCACGCAGGGTAGAAAAGTTATGCACATCTTAAATTCTCCAAAGATTCTTAAATATCATTACAAACCCAAGGTGGTCTGTTTTTTTTTTTATCTCTTCTTCATAATATATATATTAGCATTACAATTATCTTTCCATGCAAATATATTAAAGAGAAAAATGTTTAATAGTCATAATAGATGTCAAAAAAGTCACATTCTCTTCACTTAGAATTAAAATTCGCAAATACTAAAATACATAAATTTAAACTAATTCAGTCATCAATTGTGATTTTGATTTGTTCAACATTGACATAAGTTAGTATATGAATATGAAGTGAATTGTTAATTTGTGTCTGTTGGTTATTAAGATTTCTAGTAGTGAAATAATTTGTCACATTATTAAATGCTTTAAATTTTAAATAAACAAGAATGATTGAAAGAAATTAATATATTTTTTTATTAACTATTTTAAATATAATATAAATAATACTTCAAGTGATTTATTTATATAGTGAATTATTTGCATGTATTGGATGATAAATGTTTATTATGATGATCGACTTATAAGATAAAAAAAATTAGTTAAAATAATATTTATTTAGAATGTAATTTTTTTTGTCATCATGATTTTAAGAAAATTTAATATTGTGTATTGGAACGATGACAAAAGAATTAATTATTAGATATTGTATTATCTTTTAGTGTTTTTGGAAGGATTGAAACTATTCTTAATTCAAAATTTTAAGACATTAGATTATGAATCATATTTTCTTATATAACTTTCTTATTCTTACTCAATGTAGGACTTAACTCACACTTGGATTACTCAACAATGAGAAAGAGTTTGCATGGACTCAAACAAGCTTCAAGGTAATGGAATAAGAATTTTGACTCCTTTATGATGGATAACGGTATGATAAAAACTCTTCTGATAATTGTGTTTTTGTTAAAAAAATTTCTGATGAAATATTTATTATTTTCTTACTTTATGTTGATTGTTTGTTATGATATGAGACAGATTCAAAACCTTAAAAGAGAATTGAACAAGTCATTTGTAATGAAGGATTTGGGTTCTGTAAAGCAAATCTTTAGCATAAAAATTGTTCTTGATAGGAAGAATGAAAAATTATGGCTATCACTACAAAAATATATTGAGAAGATATTAAAGATATTTAATACAGACAATTCTAATTATGTTAGCACTTCACTTAAAGGTCATTTTAAATTAAGCTCAAAGTAGTGTCCTACGAGTGAGAAAGAGAAAAAAGAAATGCAAAAAATGTTATATTCATCTGCAGTTTAATGTATATTACGGGTATGTACAAGGTCAGACATTGTTCATGTTGTTGATGTTGTTAGTCATTTTCTTGCTAATCCAAACAAAGAGCACTGGGTGAAATGGATACTTAGGCATCTCAAAGGTACTTCTGGAGAGTGTTTATGTTTTGGAAGTGGTAGACCTGTGTTAAATGGTTACACAGATACAGACATGACTGGTGATGAGATTCTAGGAAGTCTACTTCTAGATATATGATGACTTGGGGAGTAGTGTCATGACATTCTAGATTACAAAAATATGTTTCTCTATCTTCTACAGAGGCAGAATATATATATTATTATTACAAAAGCCTGTAAAGGAGCTTTTGTGGATGCAAAAATTCCTACAAGAGTTAGAACTTTTACAAGAAAAATATGTTTTGTATTGTGATAGTCAAGGTGCAATCCATATCAATAAGAACTCAACATTTCATTCAAGGTCAAAATATATTAAGGTCAGATATCATTGGATTTATGATACATTGGAGATGAAACAATTATCATTGTAGAATATCTATACAAATGAGAATGACTCAAATATGATAACAAAATCCTTACCTATTGAAAAATTTATTATCTGCAAGGAGAAAATATGTTTGGTCAACTATAACCCAATGAATTGGTGATGGAGAGATTTGTCAGGTGGGGTCACCAATTTATCAGGTTCATGCTGACTAAGTTGAAAGGAAAAAAGATTTTTTTTTTATGGGCTCCTGACCTGTTATAGGATTATCTTTATTTGCATTTAAGTTCTCTAGAGCATAGAGAGAATAGAAGACAAATAGACCAAAAACAGAGAAGAGAGTTTCTGGTGAGATAAAGAAAGAGAGTTTCTGGTGAGATAAAGAAAGAAGTCACTACCAAAATAGAAGAAGAATGTGTTATTCAGAATAATCCCGTGCAGAAAAGTTAGCTCGGAGAAGAAATTTTGTTATTCTCATTTTTTGTATTTGATTATCTATTGTCTTCTTAGATACCTATTAAAGGTATCTATTATCTCCCTTATTAGTGAAAAGAAAATGTTATGATCATCATTGGTGACTCCAATAAAATTTGTGTTGTAACCATTAATTAATTATTATTAGTGGAATGTTTTATCAAATTATGTCCCATGAATTTTTTTATTCAAATTGACAATTTTTTTAAGTTAAAATTTAATGTGTTCTTATTTTTTAATGATATTTTTTGAACCTACTGTCATTCGTTCACATGAGAATAAGTTTTTGGATTTTCCTGGCTGAAATTTTGGCATCTCCCGAGCAAAAATTCTTAATTAAATTCTCCAAGGATTCTTAACTATCGTTACAAACCCAAGGTTGTCTTTTTTTATTTTTATTTTTTTTCTTGTTCACAATATATTAGCATTACAATTATCTTCCCATGCGAATGTATTAAAGAGAAAAATGTTTAATGGTCATAATAGATGTCAAAAAAGCCACATTTTCTGGCACTTAGATTTTAAATTAGTAAATACTAAAATATATAAATTTAAACTAATTCAATTATCAATTCTGATTTTGATTTGTTCAAAATTGACATGACTAAGTTATTATATGAATAAGAAGTGAATTGTTACTTTAAGTCTGTTGGTTATGTAAGATTTCTAGTAGTGAAATAATTTGTCACATTATTAAATGCTTTAAATTTTAAATAAACAAGAATTATTGAAAGAAATTAATATATTTTTATTAATTATTTTAAATATAATATAAATAACACTTCAAGTGATTTATTTATACACAGAAATATTTAGTGGTTTATTTGGATGTATTGGATGATAAATACTTACTATTAAAATGATTTTGGTTAAAATAATATTTTTTTAGAATGTGATTTTTTCTTTCTCATCACGATTTTTAGAAATTTTAATATTATTTATTAGATGACAAAAGAATTAATTATTAGATATTGTATTATTTTTTAGTGTTCAAGAAAAAAATCTTAAACATAAAGATAATTATATTTATCGAAAAGATATTCTAATTTTTATTAAGTATGATTTATTTAAACATAAATATTATTAGTGTAATTTAAATTTATTTAATTTTATCATAAATTTTGATTTAATTTTATTAGTTTTCTCATTAATATTTCCTCTATTTTAAAATATATAACGTTTAAGGTTTAATTATCTAAATTAATATAAGTATTAATTCTTATTATTTTTAATAATTTTTGTATACTCTTATCATCTTAATTATGTATATATATATATATATATATATATATATATAAAATTTAAGAATAAATAAAACTTTATTGTAGATAAAAATAATAAAAATTATATAAGATATAAATTAAAAAAATTCACCAACTTAATTTATTAAGTTTTACATTAGAGGTGATTGTAATCCCAACGTTTTACCAATTGACGATATTGACACTCAGTTTCAAAAAACATTCTTATTCAATTTTTTTAAATAAGTTGTCAATGTATAATTTTTCCGTATATTAACGTTTTTGAGATGTTTATAACTGTACCGCATTCATCTATAATTTCTCACAGTATCTTAAAAATGCGAAGAAACCAAACTACAGCCGCATTTGTCCGGTGAATAGAAGAAAATCACGAAGAAAAAAAAAAACATTAAAATGGTTACTTTACAATAACTTACAAAGCTTGTATTACTAAGATACTTAAATTACATTGGAACTACAAACGAGTACATAAGTAGAAGTTCCCCTGGTCACGCAAGGAATAAAAAAACACCAGCAGACCAAGAAAAACCATAACCTGACTCAGTAAAGCAACTGCAACCGTTAAAAATTGCATTGCAGCTGCTTCCCAAGACGCACCAAATAAAAATAAAAATAAAAAACCTAAATACAAAAAGCAACCTAATACACAACAAACCTAAACCAATATTCAACGAAGACAATAGTGCTAATTAATTATTGTTCATGACTCAGATAAAGCTGCCCAATCAATCTCCACAGAAGGGTACTTCTCCAAGTCCAACCCAAGATTCTCCATTGCTTCATAAGAATCCGAGAAATCCAAGAAAGTGATATCGGATTCTGGTGAAGAGGACCCAGGAGAAGAAGAAGAAGATTCATCCGACAAGGGCGAGGATGCTGTTTGGTTCTCCACCTTAACATCCTCAAACTCCGATGTTATTGTTGTTGTTGTTTCTTCTTTGTGTGTCAGTGTTTCCCCTTGATGTTTCTGCGAATTGATGGCCAAGCTTTGACAAATGGCCTCCAGCTTTGCGTCCACCGCAGAGGGGAGAGGCTTGTAGGTCCCAAACTCACCATAGACGCTTGCTCCATGGTGACGTAGATGAGGGAAGTTGAGCCTCGCGTTTTCTCCTCTCAGCTTAAACGCCGCGTTGTCGTATGCCAACGCTGCTTCTTCAGCGGTTTCGAATGTACCAAGCCAGAGACGAGTGCGATTCTTGGGGAGTCTGATCTCAGCCACCCACTTGCCCCAGTGTCTCTGCCTCACACCACGGTAAAGCTTTGTGGATTTGGAAAGAGCACGACCACCCACCTGCTTCATGGGAACGGGCTTTGGGCTAAGAAACTGAGCTCGTGGAACCTGGATTTGGGCTTGAATCTGGAATATTTGAGATGGGGTGAGTTGGTTCAGTTTGATGGAACTAGCTTGGTTCAGACCCTTTTGGTCGTAGCTTGAGAAGTTTGGAAATGATGATGAATGGTAAGTTATTGAGGAACTGCTAGATGAATCACTTTTCATAAAAGGTTCAAGTGCTTTCATCAGCTCTTGATCATTACAAGGGTCTAAGAAATCTGATAACATGATGCAACTGTTATTGTACATATCCATAACTGTTGTCATGCTAGCTCTACTAGATATTCTTAAACAAGTGAAAATTGCAAACAAAGAGAAGAACCTGTCTCAATTCCAAAACCAGAGACCAGGATGACGTTCTTTTCTTTAAAAATTAAAAATGAAAAGACAAAATAAAAACTTTTCCAAGTTCAAAATGAAAACCGTGATGAAAATTAAGAATTTTGGAGGAGGAAGAGAAGGTAAGCAAAGAAATGTTTGTTTGTTGTACCTCAATTGATTTTGGGGTGATCTCACTATTTGGTAGTTTCACTCTTGTGTTTTGGGGTGACCCTTTTGTGGGTTTATATACTCTTGTTGGCGCCCACAGGTTGAGTGTGTATGGTTCCTTCATCCTTGCTCTAATCTAATCACGTTCTTTGTGGTTTAATTAATGGTTACTTCCCTCGTCAACTTCAATGATTCCACTATGCGATGATGGTGATCCTATGGAAAACTGACACGTATCCACAGCATCACATGAGCATGGCCACATATCACCTCCACCGAATATCGCTGTTTTACATGTGGCGTAATGTAATTGGGCTAAGGTAAGCTGAAACATGTGGTGTGTGACACCCTCGAAATGTCAACTTTTAGTATTTAATAGGTATTTTGTCCTTTCTGCTGTCTAATGGGATTGGCCCTATCACAACCTCAGAACGTTATCCAAAATGTTCACCTATTTTAGTTTCAACAACCGCACACAAAATAAAAGGGTCGTTTAATATAAGAACTATACCGTTATCTTCGTAATTGACGTATTGAATACAAAAAATTACATTTAAATATATAAATATAATAAAATTTAAGATTATATTAATTATTTTTTTTATTTATTTATTATAAAACAAATAATAATAATATCTATTTATAAAAATATTAATTACTTTCTTATAAAAAATAATAAAAATTGATATTAATATTCATTTATATAATTAAATCTTAAACTATTTATATTTTAAAATAAAAATATTATGTATTATATAAAAAAATATTGTCATTAGTTAATAATAATATGATTAATTTAAATTATGTAACAAATTACATTAATATTATAAATAATATATTTAAATAAAATTTCTCAATTTATTTATCTTAATTATATTTATTTATTTGTTGGGACGTAGTAATTTTTTTATTTTCTAACTCCTTTTTTTATCTAATTTTAATTTTGACTTTTTTTTCTTATCTTTTTCTTTGTTGTTGTGTTGTTTTTTCTTTTTCCTTTTTTACTTATTCTTTTAATTAAAAACATTATATTAAAATTTATTTAAAATATATTAATGTATTTTTTCTTAAATCAAAATTCAAACTAAAAATGTATCAATTAATTATTTAAATTTATAATAACAATAATAATAAATAATTTTATTTATGGTAATAATACATAATTAATTTTGAAATATTTTATCATAATAAATTAATTATTTATCTAATTAAAAAATATCAAATAATTTTTTAGTATTATAATTTAGTTTTAATTAAATTTAATTATGGTGATTAAATGGATTAAATAATTTAAAAATATATAAAATAATATTTTATTACTTTTAGTATTGATTTTAAACAAATTTATTTGAATATGTTTTATCACGTTTCACTGTAATGTTTTTATACAAATAAGATAAAGTAAAAAAAAAAAAACAAGAGATGGAAAAATAAATAAACGACATAAAGAAAAAATAAATAAATAAATAACTGTTTAATATAAAAAAAATTCTATCATAGAATTCTGTATATAAATAATAAAAAGGTATAATTAAATAAATAAATTAGTAAAAATTTAATTTAAATCATTTTTTTAAAATATATTATATTAAATTGATTGTAATAAATTAATATAATAATATTCATTTAATTCATTAAATTTTTTATAATATTTTTCTAAATGTATCATTTTATATATATATATATATATATATATATATATATATATATCACATTAAAATCAATTCACAGCTGTCATTATTAAAATTACGTCAATATTTTTTTTTATCATCATCATTATTAGAGAGAATTTGACTAAGAAGGTTAGATTATTTTATCTCTCTAACTTATAAATTTCCGTTAAAACTAACATTGTCATAAATCTCCCGTATGGTAAAAATAATGTGATTTAAGATCATTTCACAATTATTATCACTATTAATATTATTATTAATATGTGGTTAAAGATTTTTTAATATTTGTGTCAGTTTTATTATTTTATCATTACAATGAAATGGTGGTGAAAAAGATGGGATAATACGTTGTACTGGTATTTATTTATTTAATTACATTCAAGTAAGGAAACTTGATTATGATGTGGCCCATACCACAGGGTGGTGCTGCTGAATAGACAGTGCAGAGAAAGGGACAAGGTATCGTCAGATGCGGCGCCACAATGAAGACCAAACCAATTTCTTATATTATTATATCAATCACTTCAAATTTTATAAAAACACTCACTCCAAATTTAATCACACTAATACGCATCCTTTTTTTTTCTCAATTAAATTCTGCACACTCTAAGCTTAATAATCATATGCATCTTATCCTTTCTTTTAATTTTCTATTTATTATTATTATTATTATTATTATTATTATTATCTGGGAGGAAACATGAAAAGTTTAATTTGAACTGCAAATACTTAGTTCATAGTGATATATTATGGTGTTCCACTCATTTATCTCCAACATACATTAAATATTAAATAAATCACCAAAATGTAAGTGTACTGGTCAAGCTAATCTTAACCTACATTTCCGTTAAAGGGTACGATCAGGGTGGGTTAAGAATTTTATGGATGGTAACCATAATAAGTTTTATGTTTCAGAAATTAAAATGGTAGTAATTTTAACATGAAATAAAATTTGTTTCATAAAAATAAAAGTATGACTCGTTTAGACAATTAAGGTACTTATTTAACTAAAGTGTACCCGACGTCGACCTTGAGACATGAATTGCAAGAGCGTTGAATGTATATTTTGAACTCTGTGATGGCTGAAACCATTTTGCGTGTGCCTTAAGTTGCGTAAGATGCAACCCCTCTCATGCTCTTATTAAATCTTCTAAAAAATGTCTTACTTTTCTTATATCATTTCAATTTTAATTAAGAACATAATTGTGAAACACACGGCCGAACATAATTATTATTGTATGATAAAAGGAAAAAAATAAAATTATTCTAAAAATAACTTTTGCCTTTTTTTATTTCTTTATTCAGAGTTCCAGTCTATTATGTGGTTTTTTAATAATGTATAAATATATTACAATTTATTGTGAGAACTTATAATAACATTATTTATGCCATTTGAGTTAAGAAAGAAAAAAAATGTTTAAAATGTATAAACCAAATGACATTTCAATTTTATCATAACTAACGTGTACGTGTGTCCAAAATTTTATTATATTTTTAAGTTATTAAACTTTAATATATTAAATTAAAATTATGAATGGTTAAATAACCTAAAACAAATTTTCAAGGAGAGAAATTAAAAGAAGTGTAATAAAAAAATAAAGAAAAGAATTATTTTTATTATTTTTACATTAAAAATTAAATAAAAAATATAATTAAAAGGAGATAATATATATAATATTTTTTTCTCTATATTGACATTGAAAAATAGTCATATAAATTATTATTATTATTATTTAAAATATTCAACAAACGTATGATAGTCTACCCTCCTATAAATTATTATTATTATTATCTTTAATAAGTTTACCAGATCTTATTATTATAATTATTGGTATAATAATAATAATAATAATTTTATCCATATATTAGGTAGACTTTGTTAAATGTCAACGGTGGAGCATAACAGAAAGATGTATGGTGAGTTGCTGAATCCTTACCAAACCCTAATTATAAGATTTAGTTAAACAAATGATAAGCTTTGCATTTGCTGAAAGCTAACGTTGGACGCAATACCATTTAGTGGAGTGTCTCAATGCCAAACCACTACACCAGCATAAATACTCATTTAATACTTATATATAAATATTTTTATTTATTACATGTAGTACATTCTAAATTTGCCAATATGATTAAGAATAGTGTATTATTAAATTTAATAATAATATTTTTTTTAAAATATATTAAATTAAAATTATCATAATGAAATCATATATATTAATCTTTTACAAATATATGAGAGAAGAGTAATGATTATCTATTTTTGGGAAAATGATTGTTTGATAAATGAGGGTAAAATATAAAATACAACTACTTTAATTATTATTGTTATATGGTTAAAATTATTTATATATCTCTCACTCAAATATTAATATATTGTTTTTAAATAATGATATTATGACGATCAATAGTTAATTCTTAAAATAATTGAAAGATAAAAAAAAAAAATTAGGGCTAAAACTCCAATAAAATTCTCAAACCCAACTACCAATATTATTGTCTCTGCATATTTGTTTCTGATCAATGAAAAACACACGCATGTTACTTCAATCTTTATTTATTTTTATTACAAAATAGAATATTTATAATTAAATTATTAACAATAAAAAATGACAATTATATTATTATAACTAAATATAAAAACTATTTTTATTATTGTGAAAATTTATAAATACATAAATAAAATGAAAATTAGAGTTTACAACATGCTTATAATTACTTTCTATTTATATATTTCACTTTTCAAACTTATCTCCTTCTTAAAAGCTTGTCATATTTAACATAAGTATACATATTATCTTATAAATATCATTTCAGTAAGTGACAAATAATAAATTAAAAGTTATAGAACATGATTTTTTAATTTTTTCTCTTTATATTCATATCACACACACACACACGTGTATATATATATTTTTTTATTTTTTTTGTAAAATTGTATTTTTTGTTCTTTTTATTTCTCTTGCTTCTTTTTTAAATCTTTTTCATATTTCTTTCTTTTGCATTGTGCTGCTGTTATGCTTGGATGTGACGCGAGGCTAATTCATTTAAGAGTTACGTGGGGTGCTCAAAATGCGCGCACAAGCGTCCGTGTACGATTTAAATAAAATTCAATCAATTCGTAGTTTTTAGAATGTTGGCAATTGTAGTTCTCCTGAGATCTAAGCTAACTTAACTTTAATATGGGTTATGTGGAAGTGCATTAGCTTGTAAATTATGCTGCGAAGGATTTGCAAAAAGAGACAGAGACAGAATTGAGTAACTTTCTCTTTAGTGTTTTAGTTTTTGGAACTGAGGTAATGATAGTTCAGTACTTCAGTTTTACCTCAATTGTTTTATACATGGATAAAAAATAGTATCATTGATAAAAATATTTTCAAAAACCCTTGTCTTGTATTGAATATGATAGCACAATATATACATGAAATACAGAAACATTCTAGGCTATAATTACGCCAACCATTATAGTCGGTATCCTAAATTTGTCTATTAACAAATATGACATTAATGTGCATCACTGTGCATCGCTGTCATGCCAAACTAAATATGGAAAAAATTAATCATGTAGAATCATGGCATGATACGGTATTTGTAA